TACTTACATTATGCACTATTATTAAAAATTATGAATATATAATTCATGTCAGGTTTTACAGATTGTTATATTTTTACTTAACAGAGATTACCGTTATTTGACGATCTCCATGCATTTAATTTGGACACTTACAATTGGATAAAATTAGCGCCCTCTGGTGTCGGCCCAACTCCCCGGTCCGGGTGCCAACTTTCTGTGCGTAATGATGGTGCAATTCTGGTCTATGGTGGTTATACGAAGAAACAAATAAAAAAAGATGTTGATAAAGGTGTCATACACGAAGACATGTATATACTTAGTAATTCAGTTAAGGAAGGTAAATATATATATAAGTTCTTTTTCATTGGATGAAATTAACCATGTGATCAGATACAATGCATTGTGGGTTGTGTATACTGTACAGTTTCAAACTGTATCTACATTTACGCTAAGTATATACGAAATGGAAGCCTTTTTTTCTAACAATTATTTTTAAAAGCAAGTCCAGTGTTATCCCAAAAAAATGGAAAAGAGTATAAGCTAATTTGCATCATATATATGTTAATCACCTCTACTATGTATTGTTATTCTAAATTGGCTCTACTCTATTGTTTATCCATAATTAAACGGTTGGAAACCCCTTCTCTATAATCACCTGGGTACAGTAGAGCCCTGATGTCCTGAGATGAAATTGCTATAAGGTTATTACGAAGATACTTCAAAGTATGCACGAAGACAGTACAGCGGCAGTATCGACCGATGCGCAGCGGAGGTCGATGCGACAGCGCACTGTCTGAGTGAGGTATCTTCGTAATAACCTTATTATTATACATCTTTTCCCTTCAAGGATACATCATGGAAATGCCGAAATCCAAAAAGTTTAGAACAGAATCAGCGAACTTCTTTGTATGGAGTCCGGTCAAATCCTGGTGGCAGCCATGTTTGTTTTTATTATTAGAGGACGCTTACGCGCGTAATCATTCCATATTTGGAATTGGCATTTCCAAATATGGTAGTATGAAAATACTTCGTAAAATACCGCAAAATTATGGCACGCTGTAACTTATGGCGTTACGGTGACAGATGTATAATAATAGACAATAATCTATAAAGAAACACAAGTAGCACTGACGAAATGGTGTCCATTAATATTTTATTCAATAATAAGTTTTGGAGATAAAATAGACAAATCTACATGAAGTACTCCATCAGACAATGTTTTATAGTGTATGCCATGTTGACTCAATCATTGCATGAACATTTGAGTAACTCTTTAAAAGTCATCACACACAATATATCGACATATATTATTTTTTTTTTGACTAAAATTCATAGCCTTCGGGAAAACTCATTCTAAAAAAAACAAACATGCAAATGTACAACTGTGGAAAATCACATTATTTCAGCATACTTGGATTGTTTTATTCTCGATGTCAAGATCGATAATTTTACTTCAGATATATAGGGGAAATAAGAGCACAAAAATAAATTCATACTGTCATCTCCAAAAGTTAATAAAAGGATAATTATAGGAATAATATATTAAATTGTTGGTGACATACATATACAAACACCAAAACCGTTGAATGTTGGAATGAATGTAGATATGTTTCAAACTAATTGTGCGGGGACGATACATTGCGATAACGAAAAATTAGTATGCAAAATTATCTGTTACACAAGCAGCACGAATCACCACAGTAGAAAGACTTGTAACAAACTCAGGATTTGTTTGCTAACGCTCTATACATTATCTGAAAGCTTTGATATCAGCGAATACAGTCAAAATTGAATACACTTGATTTACTCAATTTTATTTAAACATCTAAGGGAAATCTGGAGGTGATGTAGAAGCTACAGGTGCAGTGAAATGGAAATGGAACAAAATGAGCCAGTCTGGAATAAAACCATCACCTCGATCCGGAGCCACAATGGTTGTCACCACGGGAAACAAGGTAATGATGTTTGGGGGAGTGTTCGATCAAGATGATGATGACGATGATGAAAACATTGAAAGTGAGTTTTACAATGAAATGTACAGTCTTGACTTGGAGAAAGGAAAATGGTTTGAAATGTCTTTAAAATCAACCAAAACAAAAAAGAAAAGACGAAGAAGAAAAACAAAGGATAAGGATGTTGCCGAGCAACAACCAGGAGAGACAGATACCTCAGGTGATAAGAATGAGGAAAGCGATAATGAAGATGAAGAGGATGGTAATAAAGATGATGATGACGTGGAGGAATTCATACCGTGTGCTCGTATGAACACATTACTTGTGGTAAAACACGGCATTCTCTACTTATATGGAGGGGTGTACGAAATAGGTGACAAAGAAGTTACGCTAAACGACATGTACTCTATAGATGTACACAAGTTTGACAAATGGAATACTTTGGTTGCCATGGAAACAAGAGACCAGGTCAGTGGGATATTCATATTCAGCGTTGAATGATATAATGTGATCTGAAATTAAGTCATGTACTTATTGCCGGTTTTAAAAATTCGTCGTTGTATGTTGAGGGCGCTCTTCAAAAGTATGAGGCTTTATTGGCCACTCACAGGCTTTCAGTGATACAAGCAATGTGGTTCACTTAAGATGAGACATATTCTTACAAAAAAGTGATTTATCCAGAGCTAATTCTTGGAGCAAATCTGCCGTACATTTGATGGACGCAAATTTTGCCAATCAATATTTACAGTAATCAAAGCTTTTAAAACTGTATTTTACAAGTACTTATTTCAATTTTACCATACATCAGATCAGAGGATGGGAAGATTAGAATTGTTGAAGCCTATATCTATGACATTATAACACTCTTGTTAATAGTCTGATATAGCCAGTCCAAAATTGTTAAAAATTATACCCTGCTGTCAGGAAAAATGTAAAAAAAAAAAAAAATCATCCCTTGTGCTAAGACCAATTAATCAAACATTTCTTCAAACATTCCTACAAAATTAAGGGTTTTAGTGTCTCGATACCCATCATCTCGTCTCATTGTGGTTGTCAAAACATTGTTTACCAGGAATTTTCCACTGACATTGATTTGGCAGGATTGGGAAGACGAAGATTCCTCATCTAGTGATGAAGACAAAGATGATGTTGCTGATGAGAGTGACAAAAATGATGATGTCGGTGATAAAAAAGATGATGAGGAATTACAAGGAGCAGTAGGGGGTGAGTTTTTCAAAGATTACAAGTTCTTTGTGAAATATAAAGTTTACTACATAAGCAGGTACTAGTCTCAAACATACAGGAAATGATAAATGTGCACAAGGTAAAATGACAGGCCTGCTAGGTTTTTTGATAGATAAGTTTAGAGGACAGAAAACTGTGGTTCATCTGATCATTCATTTACATAAATTAGCCTATTTTTAGTTTTTCCACTGATATATCAATAATCAGATTTCAATGAAACTTATAACATAGGTTCACAGAGGTGAATATTAGTTAGAGTTAAAATTAATGAATGTAAATTTCCTAAATTTCTATGAATTTTGCATAAATTATTTTATCTTGTCCTTCTTGTGTATGTTACTGCACATTTACATGTATGCAATGCATTATGGGAGATAACCTCCCATTTTATATAATGGGAAAACTGGTAACACCCAGGAAATTCAATAAATTATATGTAAATTTTTTGAAATGATTTCACAATGTCAGATTTCATATCCATAATAACATATATTTTCCATGATATTTCGAAACCTCAAAAAATCATCAAGTGATCCTATTTTGTTTTTTTTTATTATTTATTTTCGCTATTTCGATGGTATGAACTTATACATGTAATAATATAAGTATGACATATAATCTTTCATTTGCCTTGGACTTCCCTAAAAAGTTTTAAATATACCCCATTTCTAGGAGGTTACTGTAATAGGCAAGGTTCTATCATGGCTATACAGATTGTGTATCTTGCCACACCCATTTTATTTCATCAGAACTTGTAAACACCAACTAAAATGTATATTATCAGAGGTACATTACTCCAACTCAGAAAAAATGCGAATGCGCATGCCCGAGGTAACTAGGATACTGGGATGTCCAGGTGGATCAAAATAGCTGCCCACGATATGACGGATTACGAGAACTATATTTTCTGTACATTTTCGATGTATTACATTTTTCACTATGATAGTGGCAAGAAAAGTTTTATTTTTTCATTACAAACCTTGATCATTGATATGCGTCATGTCAGAAGGTCGTAGCCTCAGTCTCGCTATCCAGGAGATGAGACTTGAATGGGATCTTGACATGATGTCACCATACAGTACTATGCGAGTTGCAAACCCCAAGTAATGTACCTCTGATATTATGTATATATATATATATATATTTATCTCTCTGATATGACAATTATTCACAAGGCTGCAAATTTGTCATCTCGAATTCTGTATTTTGCTTGTCAAATTCATGACGTGGTATGAAATGGTTTCAGCAGCAGAAACTCCAGCATTGCATGCATGGCACAACAATGCATGAGTTAATATACAGCAATCATCAATCAATTCAGTGCACTCAATGACCTTCACCCAAAATAGCTATGGTATGGTATTTATAAAAGTACATTTGATACCCTTGGGTTAGACAAATAATACATTTATCTGTTGGTGCGCCCTCTATGGTAGTTTTAACACACAAAAATAAATAAATATTCAACATACCAGAGGTGCGTTTGTTTTGCCCGATCAGGTTTAGGATTTATAGCAAGCAGCATGCAAACTTATTTTCTGCTAATTTTGTGTGATTTTTCATTTCACATTTTTGACATTTGGTAAAAAAATAAACAATCGTGATTATAAATTACGAGTTTTGTTTGAAATCGAGGCTCTAATCATGATAGAGTACTGTAGAATACTTTATTTTCACTTGGAATTAATTTTCGCTGAAGGAATGATTCAGTGAAAATAAAATCCAGCGAATATACCTTTTTTTCCCTTTATATGTCAAAAATCATTGAAAATAAATTCTATCCAAAACACCCAAAAAGTCTTTTCAGCGTAAATTAATTCCAGCTAAAATAAAGTATTTTACAGTGAATCAAATGCACCTCAGACTGAACATAGTTTTATTTATAAAAGGTCAAAGTCCTGTACTGTAAAATGACTAATTTTCACTGGGTTTAAATTTTGCTGATTTACCATATTTAGGCATATTCAGTGGGTTTTAAATTCACGGTTTTATCATTTAGATAATGTGTTCTATGCTAAATTATACATAATCACTGGGTTTTAATTTAGCGCATTTGCCAGTCAGCGAAATAAGCAAAATTAAAACCCAGTGAATAATTAACCCTTTTACAGTATTTGTTAAATTATCTTCAGCATGCAGGGACTTTTTCATTTACACAGTATGGATCTATTTCTGTCACTGTAAGAGGAATGTCCCACTATCCTTGGCTTGTAATTTATCCAGAGATTTTGTTACTTTTCAGGTATTCAGGCTACTGTGATGTAACTGTAGACTCAAATATACGTCATCAGTGCATGGTCAGATCACCACCAGAGAGCTCCGTTGTATGCTCCATTCATGGGATTCCACCACAGTATATCTGAGCATTCCAAACACAGTATGTCTTGGTTGAAAGTCACATTCTTATTACATTGTACAATGTGTTTTTCAACTTTAAAAAATGAGAAAAAAAGAAAGAGTATTGTGACAGTACTATTTATGAACTAGAGATGTGTCTTCTCTTACATACTGTGAAACACTTTATTTTAGCTGGAATTAATTTTCACTGAAAGGACGCTTTGGGTTTGTACTGAATTTATTTTCACTGATTTTTAGTGAGTTGAATGTAAAATACAGGAAAAAAATATTCGCTAGATTTGATTTTCACTGGATCATCCCTTCAAAGAAAATAGACAAAATAAAGTAATTTACAGTACATAAAACTTTGATAATTCTTTCCATGGAATAAATAAGAGTTCACTCCCTGTATAGCAGCCACCCCCCTCTATCAGTGTGTATCCACCAGGCATGAGTACAATTTGACAGTTTTAAATGTCATGACCAACACACTACCCTAAAACATGCCACTTAGTACCACAAATGTCAGTCAAAGTCATTTCTGTGACTTGAACTTCAAGGTTGGTTGAATGACTGATTCAAAATGAATATGGCTGTTCAAGGAGAATGGAATTTTAACAAACTGAAATGAAATGTTTTTTTTGACCTTGCACGTCTTTCCTTTGAAACAACCTTGACAGGTGCCTCTGATCAGTGGGAACTGAAATGCAAAATAAATTTCTCAGTAAAGGTCAGACAAGAAGCAACAATGTCAATTAAAAATAATTAATGCACTGTTTTCACAAGAAAATTCATTAAAAATGGTCTTCACATTCCATCACTGCAAGGCACGTGGTTCATATTTGATCAATGCAAGATAAACCAACCTTAGGGTATATTGATTTACAGTTTATTACTGGGGTTGACGTACCAGTACTGAAAGTATTAGAATTGATTTTTCTCAGTGATGTGGAAATAATAATGCTGGTAATGGGTAAAACCAACTTCAACTAAAATACTGGTTGAGTTTTGCCTTTTAGTGGTTATACATGTGGACAAGAAATTGCTTTCCAGTTTTGACTGGTCTGGTTACCCATTTCTGATTTTGGGGATCCTTTGTCTCTCACTCATAATAATCTGAACATGATGCCCAGATTTCGCTCATTAACTATGTAAATTTATTCAAACTTCACAAAGAATGGGGTGGTCATACTTTTATCTCTGAGGCAGCTTATAGAGCAATGTGCAAGGAACATAACTGTCATTGTTTGAAAAATGTGGATATTCAGATTAGCAGCCTACTATATTTATATATCCACCAATCAACCGCAGGGTAACCCACTGATCATACAAGCGTAACCTAGGCAACAAGTCCAGGCTATTATGGGGAGGGACGAAGGATCCACACAAAAAAAAAAGAGCTTGGTAACAAGGCTAGCTTTGATGGGACCATGCACCTACATTCTCCTCTCATAATTGTAAAGCAAAACTACCCGGTACATCTGAGTTCTCTCAACTAGTACATGTCTAGCATTAATAAAGTTGTATTCTCTCTCCCCACACAAATTGTAATAATTTAATTTCTTCCTAAAATCCAAAACAATTCTTTAACACACTCTCTTAGAATTTGTTTTCATTGCTGATAACCATTTGGTAACGGCCAAATTGGAATTTATCTATTGTTATTTTGAATAGTGGTGTGTTACTGTCACATTACAGATGTCATATTACCAATTGGGTTTGTGTGCAAGTAATTTCCGGCAAACTGGGAGCATTTTAATTGATGATTTTTGAGTTCTTTGTAAAAAACAAAGTATATTCTATTTTTACCATCAGTGGGCATGCATGGGGACACTACACTTCTGGTTATCAGAGCATATGGCACGTGATATGGCAAAACATACTCAAGAGTTTTGACACCTTAAACACCTTGAATGAAATTTGTCAAGAAGTAAATCGCAATAAATTACATTTAATTTTTTGAATTTATTTGGTTGATTGTTATTATATTAATCTGTCAGTTTGAAATTATTTCTCATAGCTCACAAAATTGCATCACAGTCATCACGATGCTTGTAATGTTGTTTTTGTATTTCTCTCAGAAATAGGCTTTACTGTTTTCTAGTGACACAACTGTTTAATCATCATTACATATATATACTTGTACAAACTCTGTGAACCTTATATAGTAATCAGTTATCATATTTTTAATGTACAGGCTGTTACCTGACTCCATTTCCAGGAATCAAATAATTAAAACACAGCTAACTCTGTCATCCTCGTAAAATCAAACATTGAAGAGCAACAAAATATGTAATTTTAACACTTACCGGAACTTACACTTATTGGAACAGTAATGCCCATTCACACTACGAGTTCTTCTTTAGATTGGAAATTATTTTTCACTGTACACATTTATATAAGTTTTGTGCAAAAATTCTCAAATGAAGAATTTGCGTTTCATTTGATTCACATACAACCGATGAAAATCAAAACTTTTTGATTTTTGTTATCCCGTTGTACACAAAATTTAAACTGTATGCGCAGATAATACATTCGCAGCACCCTCACACAACAGAATGGAACATTTGAGGGGGCTCACTTATATGTTAGTTATGAGACTGACGTTGGACTATTTATTAGAATTGAGAAGTGACATACATGTATGTATAAATAGGAGAGTGTCAATTTGGCATTTCCAAATCTGATCAACTTTTTCTGCACTTTTTTCTGATTTTCTTCAATATTTCTGAAAATTAGCGCTAATTTTGGAGCCAACAAACAAAATTTGAGTCAATTTTCAGTTTTTACTCAAAAACTTCTGAAGGAAAGTGCAGACTATAAATGCGACTATTTAGGGAACTGGTGGTGGAAAGGTTAAGAAAAGTCACACAAATTAATGTATCAAAATATTATTAAACAATAACTGGTCAAGTCATGGAGAGAATGATCTCAGACAACCAGTTACTGGACATGAGAAAATTTCCTCTCTACTGATTGGATAAGAGTTCAATCCAGTTTAGATCCCATGATGCTTTAATTTCAACCATGCTTTACAGTGGGCACAAACAAGATTAGTGCGGGGAGTTAGCAAATCCCTAGTAATATAGCGAGGGACTTTATTACCGCTATCAAATGATCTTGTGGTATGAAAACGATTTGCTACATTTTGTGACAATCTCGCTTCCCCTGGCACCACTTGATTTTGTTTTAATCAATCTTTGTCTAGGTATCTACTATGACCAAGTCTGTTTTCATATTGCAACCTTGTTGCGGCTATACAAAGGAAGTTGTAAATTATTTGTACAAATCTTATTTGCCGTGTCTTCAACCGTCTGGGAAAAATTGACGAGGCCTTGTAACGGTGGTAAAGACTTTCCCAGGGAAGATACAAGTTACTGGTACCCGTATGCATCTTGTTTGCACCCACAATAAAACTGAAATAGACAATTTTCAGGACAAACAAAGGTTTCAGTGTCAAAACATCGCAAAGTATTTGGGGGGCATTTCCACGCTAAATAATGTGCGATACACATTTTATGACGGTCAGTGTTGATAAAATAAGGTATTCACAATGCCATATATCCTTCTGAAAGATCAACATTGATCCAATTCAACCAGCATTTACCATATTTGCTCTATTTGAAGTGCATGTAAACAAATGATTGAAATTGTGCATACACGACTAATAGAGCAAATACGGTATATCAAAAGTAGTTTCAACTCCATACAACTAGTGTAATCCAATCTCCTCCATCCACACTGGACATGAATGACACAAGTACACACATGGCAGTGGATTTATTCCTTATACAATCTAATCCAATCTCCTCCATCCACACTGGACATGAATGACACAAGTACACACATGGCAGTGGATTTATTCCTTATACAATCCAATCCAATCCAATCTCCATCCACACTGGACATGAATGACACAAGTACACACATGGCAGTGGATTTATTCCTTATACAATCCAATCCAATCCAATCTCCATCCACACTGGACATGAATGACACAAGTACACACATGGCAGTGGATTTATTCCTTATACAATCCAATCCAATCCAATCTCCATCCACACTGGACATGAATGACACAAGTACACACATGGCAGTGGATTTATTCCTTATACAAGCAGGAAGAACTATAATATCTACAATTTAATGAATCTACAAGTACAATGTGTAGTTATCACAAGGAAAAACTCTGAAAGGATTCAATATTGAAAAGTTGAAATATTGAAAGTAAACCAAATATTGGCAATTACTGCGGAGGCAAAAAAAACAAAGGCTGGTGACATGCTAAAAAATATTTGGCTTACACCACTCGGTTGAATGGAACTACCAAAATTGATCAGATAATGTATGATCTGTTGTTCTGATTCAATGCAATGAAAGTTCTGTCTAGGCCACTCAGGTGTACACTTTGTAACTGTACTTGTAAATAATGTTTTGAAATAGAAAACACACTTTAAGCTTCTTTGCCTATTGATAGTTTTCCTTTGTATTTTGCAATGCATTGACTGTGTACTGTATGTCTCGTCTATTCATAATGGCGGATGGCGGCTCGCCTAAATTGCGTGTAATTGCAACCCTGCATTGTGAAGGTCACAGAAAAGCTCGACTCCAACATGTATTAAATTTGTAAGTACACCGGAGAAAATATATTGTTCCCGTCTTTAAAATGAAGAATCTTCTGAACAAATTAACTTTTTTTTGCCCCATCTGTCTCTTGCTCTCTCTCTCTCTTCTGTCCCATTCAAGCAGTCCTTATGTAAACCTAATATAACGGTGTGTGCCGCGCATTCAAGTTGAGATCAGCAACGCTCTGAAAACAAGTCTACAATTGCACCTTTAAATTTTAATTGTTCTCATGGTCTAAGGAAGTTCAAATGTGGTGGTTTCTTCCTCTAGCATTCATTCCTTCATATAAAAATAAAGCGTTACTTTCATCCATATTTTCTCATCCACACTTATCACAAAATAAGAAAATATTCAAGCACTTGTTGAGTCAGTATGAAAATTTCTTTTCAATTTTTTTTTTTTTTTTTAAAGAATAGTATGAAATAAGACTGATGCAGCCACAGAAAGAAAAAAATATTAATCACTTGAGCAGTTAAAATAAACTTGTAACGACAGTATGACTGGCAGGCATTTGTAAAAACACATGAATGAGGTGGGTCCACACACGTTTTAACACTGGCTGCTTAATATTAGTATAAATATATCAAATATCAGAAATATCAAAACGAAAATCAAATCTCGCAAATGACATCCAATGTAAAAAAAAAAAATATTAATAATTATTATTTTCAAGACACCTAAATACCACACGGTTGGTAAATAAACAAGTCTAGTTAAAAGACCATACTGAATTGTGAGTAATAAAACAACCCAATGCAATGATTGGAAAAGGTATACAGAGACTTGGACTAAAAAAGAACATTAGTTTTGAAGTGAACGGCACCACATAATGTGACCTCTTGACCCCACCTATAATTGTACAAATATCGCCAGAAATTCCAGGCTTCTGATATGACCATGCTCCTCGACGTTCGGCTTCAAATTATTGCCATTTCGAGCACACACAAAATATCAGAAACATTCTAAAAAAAATTTTTTTTTTTAAATTTTTTTTGCCATGTACATTTCAGTGAAAATCTGCTAGGTATCTGATGCTCACAGTCCGTTTCCAATCAAAGTAAAGACATTTTTTGCCTGAAGAACGCTACAATACCCCTCTACAAGAATGACCTAACTGTTGGTGAACTGACGGTACAGATAGGGATAACGTGCAAGGGTTAAGATGTCATCAGCACTGTTTTTGAAAATACCTGAAAAGTTATGGTTAGAAAAGGTATAAAAAAAAAAATAAAAAAAAACAGCAGGAAGAGCTTGTGCTGGGATGGACGAAAAAATGCCAAGCCAAGCAAGAAATTATGGAAAAGTGTGCCAACAAGTTGGAAAACTGGTACCAGGTACATGCATTTTGAGTTTGTGCAGGTAGAACAGAGAAGGAGCCCGACTTAACTTCGGAACCACAGACAATATAAATTGACTCCACACCCACCCAAAATGTTACATACTAAGGGTGAAGGCATGTAACGAGCAGCAATATCTGAAGTGAAGTGCTCCATTGGCAATATCATGGCAAAGAAATAACTTTTCTTGTGTTTCCTTTCAATATTTCATGATAGTTTGAATACACAGAAAAGAATCTCACTAGTATGTGATGATAACAAATTATGCAGGCATGAAATACAAATCTTCTGAAAATGTTTAACAACCTTGCAAATGTTAGTGATATCTGATTTTCGTTGCATACCCCTGTCCACACACAACCTAGGACTGGTTCGGTGCAACAGAATGTAAGATAAAGGCATCAAGCTGGTAAATTCACCATATCTGTACAAATATAAGCAGTGAAAAAATGAGATATTTCACCAATTCATTTAAACCACACTAGAAATCACATCAAACTGATGACAACAGAGTTAATCAAATACTTAAAGACATTTAAATAGTTTTGAAATTCAAAGTGATAGAAGTTTTTTTTGAAAGTAAAAACAATTCAGCTGTTAAAAATCCCATTCGTAGAAAAGCCAAGGTAAATGCGATTAATTTGTTAAAAAAAAATACCAGTTGTCGTTCTGTATTTCCTACAATTTAAAAGAATTGGCCCATTCCTAGATGTTGCAGAAAAACAACCAATTAACTGTTGATTTGTTGAAATTCATTCAAACTATTAATTTTAAATTGTAATAAATATGACCTAATCACTGACCTGCAGCGGCCGAGCATGATCTTGTTTGTTTGACCTTGCTTTAATTTGATTTGTAAAAAAACCTCAAATCTGAAGTTTCTCCATTCAATGCTAACTAACTTATTTTCAAATTTACAATTTTTTTGGTTTAATTAACTCTCCTTTATAACCTTTATAAATGTAATTTCTCTGTCAATTAACGCCTGTTACTGTCTGTTTGGTGAGACGAAAACGTCTCAAAAATCAGGCATTTCTTGAATCTGGGTGAATAGTTGCGAGAAAAGCACAGTAAATCCAAGATTAAGAAACAGCACCAAAGCAACCATCTTGCCACTGGCCGACCATTCCTGAAAAACAACAAAAGTATTTAATATTTAAATGTTAAACATAAATGTCACGAAATGAAGCTACCATGCATCAAGTTTCTTATTGTTTATTTGGTCTTGCCACTGGCGGACAGTTCCTGAAAAACAACAAAAGTCTTTAATATTTAAATGTTAAACATAAATGTCACGAAATGAAGCCACCATGCATCAAGTTTCTTATTTATTTGGTCTTGCCACTGGCCAAACCATTCCTGAAAAACAACATAAGTATTTAATATTTAAATGTTGAACATAAATGTCACGAAATGAAGCTACCGTGCATCAAGTTGTTTATTTGGTCTGAAATTAAAAAAAAATTATGAAGCAAAAAATTTGCATCGCAATTTCGGTCATAACATTTTCAACGTTTTTTTCACCAAAAATGTGTGTACTGGAACACAATATTTGAATTCATCTTTCAATTATGCTACTGATGATAAGTATTTTCGTGGATGATAAGAACCACTTGATCTGAAGTTCAAGTTTATGTAAATAGAAGAAATCAATTAGCACGTCAACAAGTGAAATCATTCGGAAGCAGCAGCAACATTTCATCCATGGATATACCAGTGGAATACACGCGAGTATGTACGTTTTTATTTGTCTCAATTGCATGTACACCCATACACCAAAATTAGAAAACAACAAGGGCCAAACTATAGGCTGTCACACTGTGACATTTTTGCCAACAGGTAATACAAAAGTGTGATTATAAATGTCTCTCATGATTTGCTGTACCTATAAGTTGTTCTATTACCTTGAACTCATACATGTATATTTAATAGCTATAACAGCAAAAAACAGGATTATTTTATGCACAGTTGCATGTGCACAGAAAGTAAACAAGTGCAACGACCTATATATAATTATCAATGTCTGTTTTATGAAAGATTGAATTGTCCTAGTCCTGAGCTGAACCTAAATTCAAAATTTGTCGACCCGTATTCAAATTTTGCTATCCTGAATTCAAATTTTGTCAGCCTGTGTTCAAATTTTGTCAACCTGTATTCAAATTTTGTCAGCCTGTATTCAAATTCTGCTATCCTGAATTCAAATTTTTTTGACCCGTATTCAGATTTTGCTATCCTGAATTCAAATTTTGTCAACCTGTATTCAAATTTTGTCAGCCTGTATTCAAATTTTGGTTGCACTTTATGAATACTTACCACATTTTTACCTCGCACAACCATAACTGCTTCCGGATCCAAGTCAGGATCACGTATGCCATCCTCATTTTCATCCCCTTTAGGAATGTAGGTAATTCCACATCCGTCAGGAAAACGTCCCGTCAATGATCTGTAATGGCCAGGGGGTTTGTCACTTTTTATAGTTAGTTCAGCATATTTCGATTTATTCTTATTTTTCTTCTTCTTTTTCTCTGTTGTATCCTCTTCTTCATCTTCTAGCAGCGGGAAATCATCAATATCATTCATATCAGCTTCTGGATCCGGCTCTTTGATAGTAACACGTGCACCGCTTTCATGGTGACGCTGCTGCTGCTGCTGCTCCTCACCGTGCTCATCTTCAAACTTTTGCTGTCGTTGAAAAGTACTTCGTCTTTGTAGCTTGCCTCGCTGATCAGTATAATCTTTCCTGTGGGTTCTTGAACGTTCTGATTCAGATAGCGTGCTAACGCCTGAATCTGGAGTCAGCTCAGCGGAGGAGCGATCATGTCTTCCATACCTCATATGGGAATCTCGTGGGTGATCATATTGCGAATCTGAGTAATATCTGTCATCATAATCCTTGTCCATACTATCAAAATGATAACTATGCTGCTGAGGAATAGGACCATCTAAATGTAATCTATCGGGAATTCGCCTACCTCTATCGTATTGTTGTTGTCTATAGTAGTGATGGTCATTATGCGAGTCCCCCATTCTATCTGACGAGTGTGATTTCTCAATGGGTGATCTTCTGCTTCTCATAGGGGATCCAGAGGGACTCACATCGGCAGCGCTTGATATACCTGATTCGTGCAGTTGCTGTCGTCTTAGCGACTCGTAGTATTCTTGATTATTGTTTTCACCTGTGTGTGTCGGTAGCTGCAATTGATTGCCAATGGGTGATCTCGTTGTAACTCCTATTGGTTTGTTGTTACGGCGATCAATCTGGTTGAAAAAACTCTTTTTTCTCTCAAGTTTTATGTTTGTGTCAGAACCTATAAAAAAGCATATGATTAGTAAGGAATTGTCTTTTGAGACACTGATCAAAAATACTGCAAGAAAGAACTGGACATTTGATACCATTTGGCAAGTCAAAAAGATTGTGCAAAACATATTTAGAACTGAATACATTGTGAAAACCACCACATTGTCACACTAGAAATGCTATTCTGAAATGTGAATTAAATCATGACCCAATTTTTGTTGGACTTTGTGAGAAATCTTAGAGAATTTCACAAGTCAGGTGAATGTAGTTACAGCAATCATGGTGATTTTTGAGAAATGATGTAGTTGTCAGGACACCATCAAACGATGATAGTAATGGAAGAGTAGGAAATCAAACTCGCGGTTTACCGCGGTCATTACCGCGGTGGTGGTGGGTGCTCGCCGGTCGACCGCATTTTATGCAAATTTATGCATAGATTCCATGACCCCGGTTTACCGCGGTCATGTGCGATATGCTCGCATGGCAATTTACACCCTATTGTTAGACTATGAATGGACACATAGACT